TTTCCAGGCAGCCCCTAATCTGCTTTCTGTCTTTATGACTCCCCTCTTTGGGGCATTTCACATACATAGAATCATATAACATGTGGCCTTTTTGCCTGGCTTCTTTCACTTAGCATCTTGTTTGCAAAGCTCATCTCTGTTGGAGCTTAGCTCAGTATTGCATGCCTTTTTATGGCCAATAATATTCTGGTGTCGGCATATACATGTCATTTATCCAGTCATCCATTGATGGACATTTGGGTCGTTGCTGCTTTTCGACTATTTTACGAATAATGTTGCCATGAACACTTGTGTACAGGTTTTTGCGTGAACATATGTTTCAGTTCTCTTGGGTACAATACCTAGGGAGTGAAATTGCTGGATTATATGGTGCTTCTGTATTTAACTTTTGGGGAAACTGCCAAACTGTTTTGGAAGCAGCGCACCATTTTATGTTCCCAGTAGCAGCGCGTGAGGATTTTAGTTTCTCCGCGTCCTTACTATTGTCTGTCATTGTCTTCTAACCATCCTACTGAGTTTAAAGTAGTATCTGTTTGTGCTTTTGATTTTCAGTTCTCTAATGACTGATGATGTTGAACATCTTTTCGTGTACTTATTGGCCATTTGTAGATCTTTGGAGAAGTGAATTGGCAACAGCAGGTTTTGCCCTCAGAACAGGATGAATTTATATAGCTATGCTAATAGCTCTCTACTCGGGAGCATTGGTAGTTCTGACATTGAGAAATGTGAAAGGGTGAGCCTTTATGTAAAACACAGAAGCAGTTCCAAAGAACAATGTCTGTCCAAAGGAAGAACGAAGCCAAAGGCTGGATGTGGAATGTGAGAAGAAGGGTAGACACGTCTTGCTTAGGACCTCAGCCCTTCATGGCCTCTGCTTCCCACCCCCATATTCTTAAATTGATCCCCGTGGGGAACAGGAACTTAAATGGGTTCAAAGAAAGTGAACTATTTATTAAGCCCAACTAAAAATTGACCTTGAGGCTTAAGTTAACTGAGAGACATTATTACATTAAAAGCTGAGCATTACTTTTAAAGGGTGGGAAGGGAGCCTGGGTGGCTCAGTCCGTTAAGCACCGGACTTTGGCTCAGGTCATGATCTCATGATTCATGGGTTCGGCCCTGAGTCGGGCTCTGTGCTGTGACAGCTCAGAGCCTGGAGCCTGCTTTGGATTCTGTGCCTCCCTCCCTCTCTGCCCCTTCTCAGCTCACCCTCTCTCTCTCTAATATAAACAAACAAACAAACCTTTTAAAAAAGGGTGGGAAAGATGGGTGACTTTTTAAAATGTAATCTCAATTGAGTTCTTGAGCAGACTCTTTAACATCTTTTGAAAACTTAAGTAAGGGAGATGAAAAGCAAGAGTCTATTGATCATATAAACTTGAACTGTGGCACACAATTTACTCATTTTTTCTTCTGATGTGTGAAAAAGTTAGTTTTAAGCTACTTTTGAGCATCTTGTACATATCTACAATTAAGGCTTTAGAATTCAGCAGGTATACAGTATCATTGTGAAGCTTATATATCTTCACAAATAAATAAAGATATATTGTATTATATATCTTTCTAACTTAAAACTATAGGCGTTTGTAGTATGTGCTTTGAAAAGATCACCTTTGCTTTGAAAAGGAAATTACATCAAGCATTCAGATATCTCCCGTAGGATGACCCGCCTGTGCCAAACCAGCATCAAAGCTTATTTTATCAGAAAACAAAAATGTTTTAAAGATGTTATCTTTAAGTAATCGCTACACCCAGCATAGGGCTTGAACCCACAACCCAAGATCAAGAATCTGACACTCTACCCACTGAGCTAGGCAGGCACCCCTATCAGGAAATTATATGTGACAAAATTTTTGAAGCAATGGATTCCTGTTGGAGAAGGAGTCAGTTATCAGAGCTCTTCTGCTTGCTTTCAATATATTTTTTTGGAAACATACAGATACATGCATGTATACCTATATAGTTTTAATTCACCATGTTGGGTGTCACCACACAGTGGTAGCAGTTACTCATTCCCATGGCGGAACGTACACGTCAGAAACACATGGAAGGGCTTATAGGTAAATAATGATTTGAACTGGAAACTCTGAGATGAGGACTGGGACTCTGTTGTGAGATTTCCAGTAGCAAACGTTCGGAACAAAAATGAAACATGTCGGTGAAAACCACAGCGGCACGTTGTCATCTGGATGAGTGTGTAAGCCTCGAAGATAGTTAATGTAACAGATGAGCCGACAGTAAAGCCTCCCGCCTTCACAACAAAGATGTATTGTGTCCATTTTCATACCTCAGAATGTCATTTTTGTCCCTGCCCTGATTTGCTGCATTTCTTACCTTGTTTTTCCTTTCGTCATGTAAAAGGGGTCTCCAGACATAGTTTGCATTTCAGTTTCACATGTATGTTACAGTTTGTGGCGCTCTGTTTTCCTCGGGGCTCTTATATAGTAACCATTTTACTACATGGCGATCTCATGACTCCTCACATCAGGCTTTTGAAACTGGGACTATCATAATGATGCCCAGTTTAAGGGTGAAGAAGCTGAGGCTCGAAGAGATTAAGTGACTGGTTCTGAGTCCTAAAGGTAGGGGCGCTTGGCTGGCTCAGGTAGTGTGTGCGTCTCTTGATCTCAGGGCGGTGAGTTCAAGCCCCATGTTGGGCATGGAGCTTACTTTTTAAAAAAAAGGGTCACAAAGGTAATGACTCACATGCGGAACCAAGATTTTGACCCAGTTCTGATACCCCTGTCTTTATCTCCATGCTATATATAGTTGGTTGTAAATCTGGAATGATTAGTCAGCCGTGCGTGCGTGTGTGTGTGTGTGTGTGTGTGTGTGTGTGTATTCCATCAAAGGCCGCTCCTCACAGAGAGAGTCCCACTCAATGCCTGAGGTAAAAGCTCTGGCTAACCCTGAGGAAGGGAACTACTGAGAGTTTAAGCCGGTGGGTCTGAAAGCAGCTGAGACCCGTTTTGCCACTTCAGCTCAGCCAAGACAGGAGCTTCCATGAACCGGGTCCCCTGAGGTTAGCTGCGCAGCCTCACGAGCAGCCACCCCTCACTTGGCAGCAGTAACTATCTCGAGACAAGGGGTAGGATTTCGGATAATCGTGGTCTTGAGCTAGAAGCCTGCAGGGCTCCCAGAGCGGTTTCAGGACTGACTAGAGTGTTTTTCCCTCCACACTATGTCAGAACTTTGCAAGGGAGTTCTGTTGAGACAACTGTTTAGTTAACATCTAGCTACTCCTCTTTTTCCTTTTGGTTGTTTTGGGGTTTTTTTTTGTTTTTTAAGATTTTATTTTTAGGTAATCTCTGCACCCAACATGGGGCTCGAACTCACTCCCATGGGATCAAGACGCAGGATGGCTCTGAATGCTGGGGGGGAGGGGGGGGTAGTTCGGTGAGCGGGGCTGGTTCTCACGGGCGTTCCAGCAAGCTCCCATGCCCCCCACTGTCTGTCAGAAGGCGGGGTGTTTCTAGGTGCCGGATTGAAATGCCATCCCGAAAAGGCCCGTAGTTGACTCTGATGGACCCCACCTTCCAGGTGCTCAATGGCCGGACGGGGTTGCAGCGAACCACCTGAAGCTAGAAATCGGTTCCACAGAATGGGGAGGTGGCTGTTTTTTCCCTCCCTCCTCTCCCACTAGCTGTTTTTTAATCCTCTGGGCATTTCAAAACAGGTGAGGAAAGAACCACCATAGGAGAAACCAAGCACTAAGCTCTAATGCCCCCGTACTCGCCTTCCCCATCTCCGTCTCCTCCCCACCGCCACACACACACAGTGTAAAAAACAGAACTGGTTGGGGCGCCTGGGTGGCTTAGTCGGTTAAGCGTCCGACTTTCGCTTAGGTCATGATCTCGCGGTTCGTGGGTTCGAGCCCCGCGTCGGGCTCTGTGCTGACTGCCAGCTCGGAGCCTGGAGCCTGTTTCAGAGTCTGTGACTCCCTCTCTCTCTGACCCTCCCCTGCTCACGCTGTCTCTCTCTCTCCTAGAAATAAATAAAACATTAAAAAAAAAAAAAAACAGAACTGGTTATTTTTTCTTGGGGCTGCTTTGGCCTCCTCTGTGTCCGCCTGTTTGGGTTTTCAGCGCACCGTTTCCAGAGGCTCTGGGAACACGGAGTAGATGCCGGTACTTTGCATGAGGCTGGGGGCTGGGAAGGACCATGGTCCTGGAATAGACACAAACGAAGGGCTGAAGGAGCCTTTGAACTTAATTTAAGGGTAGACATTGAAGCCTTAGTTGTTTGACTCTTCCCTACCCAGGAGGAGGGGGGTACAGGCACCCGACATGCTGGAGGTTCCCTCCCCCATTTTTATCCAGATGATAGGTTCCAAAGAACTTCACCAGGGGAAGAAAATAGTCGCCAGAGGCTTGCCCAGAGCCTAACAGTTGTCTCACTGTGGGGGAGGGGGCCTGGAGCCATTTGCCTCTGGCACTGTGGTTCCGGGGTCCAGACGTGAGCCTTGCTCAGCAGGGAAAGCCACCCCTTCCCCTGCGCACCCCCCTCCTGCCCCCAGCTCGGTGGCTGCAGGGAAGAGAGGGAGGGATGAAGAAAGCGTTTGGAGGCAGACCTGAGCCACCCCGTGTTGGATGCGCGCTCATTTCATCCTCACAGCAGCCCCGATCTTGGGAATCGGTTCCCTGTGTTTTGCAGATACGGACCCTGAGACAGAGAGGTGTATCATCACCTCCGGTGGCAGAGCCATGTTCAAACCCTGGTCTTTATGTAGAGAGAGAAATCTGAGAGTCTCCACAAGGTAGACGGGGCTCGTGTGCCCGCCACGGAGCCAGAAACTGTCATCTCTTAACCCCCCCCCCCCCGGGGGTGACTGTGGGGCAGCGGTCGTTAAGCTGCGTCACCAAGGGTTTTAAACCCTCCCCCCCCCCCCCCCCGCCAGCGCCTCCCTCTGACCTGCAGGATTCACGCTGGACACCAGTCCTCTTGGGAGGACTTGCTTCAACTGGTTTTAACTAAAGTCTTTCACTTCTCTCCCTCCGCAGATGGATCTGTCTGTGGAAACGCTCTTTAGCTTCATGCAGGAGCGCCAGAAAAGATACGCCAAATATGCGGAGCAGATCCAGAAGGTCAATGAGATGTCCGCCATCCTCCGCCGCATCCAAATGGGCATCGACCAGACCGTGCCCCTGATGGAGCGGCTCAACAGCATGCTGCCCGAGAGCGAGAGGCTGGAGCCCTTCAGCATGAAACCCGACCGAGAGCTCAAGCTGTAGAGCCGCCCGTGCCCTGCCGAACCCCGCTGCTGTGTGGGGACCCGGCCTAGCACCACCCCACCCGGGCCCCGGGGACGGCTGGAACCCCGGTCCCCTGATGTGACTGGACCTCAAAGCCGGTCAGAGGGTTCAGTCCTCCCTGACGGGACAGGAGCCGTCCGGCTGGCTAAAGGCCTGATGCCACCCCCCCGCCCACCCCCTTCCTTGATGCATTTTTCCGCTCTGCAAAATGAACAAGACTCCGTCTCGGTGCTGACCGAGGTCGGAACAGTTGAATTATTAGGAACCCATTACAGGACTCTGCATCGGGAATTATTTTTATTTCGTTTAGGTTTGGTTTTTGTTGTTTCTGTTTTTTTTAACTGAAAGCACGTACTGTCAGTCTAGCTTGCGGAGTGAAAACACGGAGAGGAGGAGAATGAGGTTTTCCAAAGCTCTGTGTCCTCAGTGCCCTCACACGGGTCTCAGCGGCTTTCCGGGTTCTAAGCTGCACACATAAAGAAGTCCTTTACTCCAGGTCTCGGTGTGGTCAGGTGATGTTACTGTTCCTGTCCTGCCCTCTGTACATCGCGCCGGGTCTTATCTGGGGCACCCTCTTCCTGCTCCGGCAGTATCTGGTCGTGTGCTGGGTTGCGGTGTCCCTCACACGTCATCATGGGAAAGTGAAGACTTCCTCCCAGCATCCTCATCGGGTCCACCTCCCCCCGATAACTGGTTTCCTCCAGGCACACGTAGTTTAGGCTTCTTTTCATCACATCAGCACTGGCAAGTCTCTTGAGTTTTGTAACACGGTTTTCACCGGCATTTATTTTCCTAGCCTGGGAAGCCTGTGGTGTGGTCGGGGCTTGACATGCCTACAGTAGGCATTTAAGGAGCCCATTCGATGTGTCTGACACTGTGCCCCAAATACAAAACTGCCTGTGTAGCCCCTGCCCTTTTCTGAAGAGACAGAACTCAAAATGCTACTGAATTTCTGTGGGAGTTTAGGAACAGAACTTGCGTAACCACAAAAGTTCTTAGTGCAGTACTTTGCACGTCACAAATGTCCCCATGGAAGAAAAGACTGGAGACACAAAGAAATGGAATGTAGGAACAGAGAAAGGCAGGCAAGCGAGACCAAGCACCAGGGAGCACGGGGAAGCCTCGGGCCAGCATATTATGCAGGACTCACCGTGCTCCCTTTATTCCTTCAGACTTCAGACAGCGTTTCTTAGACGTCAGTAACAGCCTTTGGTATATTTATAAGATTAGAACGGCTCCCCCTTAATTTAGCAGATCTTGGGTAAACTTGATCTGATTCTAATCGCTGATTTTAATCAGATACTGTTTTGTAAGATTCTTAGAACCCAGTACGAAATGTAGGCCATGAGACAACTGGATGACAGAAGAAACATGAGCAAACTAGGCTAAATAAAAACAAATTTTAAAAAAATTCAGACACAGGAAAAAAATCCACAGCCTCTAGGATTCTGTAAGGAACAACTCAAAAATATGAAGACTCTTCATTCCTCTGAGCTGGAAAGACAAGATGGGCGCTGGAGCCAAGGGAAGAGGCCAAGGCACGTCCAGCTCATCCAGAAGGTAACCTTCAGATTGTGTTTCCGCCTTCCTGGGATCCAATGCCCTTCTTTCCCCAGTAGAAATGGGGGGGGGGGGTGTGTGTGCGCGGGGAGTGGGGGGTGGCGATGTAGCCAGAGGAGATGAAGTGGCCTGAGGGAGTCGTGGGGGACTCAATCCATGTGCTGGGGAGTGAGGAGCTATATCTTCACACTTTGTTGGGCCGCACGGGTGGAAGTTTGTGTTTATAATTTTTTTTTTTTTAAACATTTATTTTTGAAAGACAGAGGGAGAGCATGAGCAGGGAAGGGGGAGAGAGAGGGAGACACAGAACCCAAAGCAGGCTCCAGGCTCTGAGCTGCTGACTGCACAGAACCCGACATGGGGCTCGAACTCACAAACTGCAAGACCATGACCTGAGCCAAAGTTGGACGTTCAAACAACTGGGCCACCCAGGTGCCCCTTATAATACCTTTTGATGGTCATGTTTACTGGGTTTTTAGCCATTTCTAGAGCAGTTTGTTAGAGGGTGCAAATCAAGAGAGACATTCTGTCTCTTAGAAACCTATTAATAGCTAAGGTTACCAGAGTGGCCACATTTACTGAATAATGAATCTTCCCTCTGATGTGCAAATACCTCTTCTGTCATGTGGTGTATTTCCATATAATTGAGGATCTCCTTCTGAACTGTATTCTAATCCATTGATCTTTCTCCCCATATCATTTCATGCTGTTTTGCATTTTTTCGTATGGTGTTAATAGAATTTCACAGTACATTTTAATATCTGTTATAGCTAGATTCAGTGCCGCCTGTGCTCAGTATGGTCTTTTCCTAACTTTATTTTTTGTTAATTTCAAACCGGCTGAAATTGGTTTTCGCAAACAAAGAATGCAGGGAATACTTCTATTCCCCTTGCGAGACCTACAGGAAGTGGCGTTTGTAAGCACCATCATCATGGTTTTTCTCTGAGTTCCTGGCGTGCACAGGACCCGTGCTGAACACAGGGGTGTGCCTGCAGTGTTCGGAGAGCGCAGGACTGGTTGTGTACAGAGCTTGGGAAACAGCCCAGGCATCAGGGGCGCTTACCATCACCGCACTTGGTGCAATTTACAAATACAAGCGCAGAACAAATAAAAGGAGATGCAGACTAAGCCTATGGAGGATGGAGCTTTCTCACTGTGTTTCAGTAGTTGAAGGTGTGAACGTGCCAGAAAGGCAGACCTGACGTGGCAGGAGAAGATCCTCAGCCAGCCAGGTCTCCATCCAATTCTTTTTCTTATAAAGAAGTTAGACAGAGCGCCTGGGTGGCTCAGTTGGTTAAGCGTCCGACTTTGGCTCAGGTCATGATCTCGAGGTTTGTGGGTTTGAGCCCCGTGTCAGGCTCTGTGCTGACAGCTCGGAGCCTGGAGCCTGCTTCTGATTCTGTGTCTTCCTCTTCCTCTCTCTCTGCCCCTTGCCTGCTTGGTCGTTCTTGCTCTCTCTCAAGGAAAAAAAAGAGGGCACCTGGCTGGCCCAGTCAGTGAGGCACATGACTCTTGATCTTGGGGTGGTAAGCTCAAGCCCCCACGTTGGGCGTAGAGTTTACTGAAAAAAAAACATTAATGAATGAAAAGACAAGTAATAACTTAGATTTGGGTCCTGAGTCTACGGGCTGCTTATTGCTGAGTGGAAGAAGAGAAGAACAGGCAAATTCGGCATTTTCTTTAAGAATTCCAGTTAATCTTCATGGTGTGGGGTGGTTCTGCCACATTGTCAACTTGGCGAAGCAGAACAGTTTTCCCAGTTTCCCTTCCCTGTGCGTCCCTGGTTCGAGGTGGCCGTAGGAGGAGCTTGCATGAATGTGGAAGTGGACAGAAAGCCGCTCAAGGTCGCCGGACGTCGTGCCCGGTGGCATCTCGCGCACGTTTTCGCAGCCCGCCTGCCCCGTTGGTGGGCGCGGTGGCCGGGCTCGGGGCTCCCCGGCCCCGCAGAACTCCGCCTCTGCTTCTTCCAGATTGGGAGCGGGGGCGCAGGGAGGGACCTAGCTTCTCCTTCGGGTCACTTGCAGCGGGAGGAAGAGGGCTTAGCGGAGGGGCCAGTGCAGGTGCGGGCGGGAGGCACATCTGGGCTCTGGCCGGCACTGCCGCCTTCTTCCTGGCCCACCCGCCCAGGGACTTCCGGTGAACAGCAGCAGCCGAACTGGGAATCTCTGACCAGCCTCTGTGATCTCGTGCTGCGAGTCAGCCCTTCAACAGCCCCCCTACCTACCCCCAGTCACTCCTGGTGGGTCTTCTTGGATTGACCCCTGATTGGCAACGTGGCACTGCCAGTGCTGCACCTCCGCAGGACTAGACGTTTTCTGACAGGCTCTGGGAGTCCGATTTGCTCTTCGAAGAGAGGGTTCTGCTGGCTCTCTGTCCTCGATGCCCAGTGACCCATCCAGACGCTGTAGGATGCTTCGGGGATAAAAAGGCAACCGGTCGTTGGCAGAGAGCCGGCGCTGTGGGTTTCGAGCCTTGAATTTTGGCCCGTCACTTGATTTCCCTGCGTCTGTTTCCGCCTCCCGACGGCGCGAGCTGGTCTGGGTGGGCTCTCCGGCCCCTGCCCGCTCCAGGGTGCCGCCTCTGCCGGGGAGAGGCTGCTTTACCCGCCGTCTCTGAGCGGTGGCCCCAGGTTTTGATAGTGACTTTAAATTATGAGCTCCCCACAGAGAGCGTCTCTCCTTCTCTATTATAACTTAGGAAGCGTCCAGTGGCTTCCCTCGTTGGAGAAGCTGTTTTGCAGATCTGTCCGTCCATCTGTAGCTCTGAACACTGTCCCTGTACTGCAGGCTCCTTGTTTGACCGGAAGTAGAAAGACTGGTGGAAGCTGGCCTTCCTCTCTTGTATTTTGTGCAAAGAAGTGTCTCGTCAGTGAATTGTGGGCTTGGGATGTCGGCTCAGTCATTAAGCATCCGACTCTTGATTTTGGCTCCAGTCATAGTCTCACGGTTCATGAATTCGAGCCCCCCACATCGGGCTCTGTGCTGACAGAGTCAAATCCGCCCTCTCTCTCCTCCCCTCCTCGCTCTTTCAAAGTAAACAAATATTTTTAAAAAATGAATTGTAGGGTCAAGAGCAAGTAATAGTGTAGGCTTCATGAGAGCCTTAAATTATACAGATGTCATATCTTTAGTTCCCTTAAAACTCTGTCATTCTTCAGAACGTAATTTATATTCTCGGCACAGAGTAAGTATTCGGTGAAATGAATTTGGAGGACTCTGTCCAGAGATACAGGAGAGCACTCAAGAAATGAGGTGGATCTTTTATTAAAAACTATCTTCTAGGTATGTCTTTCTTTTTTCCCCTGACATAGGAAGAAGGTGCGTTATGGGTCTTACCAAACACGCCGTTTCCAAGGTTACGTCAACTAATGGCCTTGGGGGACTGACCTGCGCCACCACTTGTGTGGATTTATAGAACTCACTTAGCTTTGGCATTTCCGTCAGCAAGCCCCAAGGCAAAACCAGGAATCTGTAGAAATGAGAGCTGTGAGCAAACATATTTTAAGAGTTGAGTGAAACTGTCTTCCCAGTTTGTTTCGAGACATCCAACAGGCAGTAGGAAATTACTTAAAATGTTGATGCTGAAGATCGAAGGGTAGAGTGAAGTGACAGATTTTCTTCTTGGGGGACAGTTTAGATGCAAAACTGTTCTACATCCCAAGAGTTGCCACTGCCGTCGGCTAATTTATAATGAGGAACATTTGATTTTTTTGCACCAGGCATGGAACTTCCACTCAAATGCCCCGACTACAGAGGCGAAGGGCGGCCAGATTACGTATCCACAGGCCTCACACCAAAATATCAGAAATTTTGGCAGCTAAACCTAGTTGCTCACTAGCAGAGCCAGTGTCTCACGTGTTGTGTTGACGTGTGCCTGCTGCTCTTGGGAATTTGTTCCAGGTCAGAGGTGTCCATGTGAGACCTGAGGGAACGTGCTGATGGCTCCATTTTCTTCACCAGTCAAGGCACAGTCCTGCTGCCACCTTTTAGCTTTGTGCTACAGCGAGGCAGGATTCATGCCAAAGGCACTGGTGAAGCAAGTACTTTAACTGTGGCCTTTGAAACCACCCTAGTTCCCTGGAGCAGAGAGAACCCCGACCACCAAGGCGCCCTGTTTGCCTGTGACGGGGCTCCCGCGAGGTCACATTCTGCATTTCCTGTGGGACGGCGTTTCCCCTGACCTGGACTCCTTCAGCTAGAACCAGTGCGATGAAGCTTGTTTTTACATCAACCCTGTTTGACGCCCCTGCACGTAAAGGCACGTAAACGGCAACAACGTGATGGACTTGTGAACATCTTCCAAGCCGGGATGTGATTTTCCGGTTGATTTTGCAACTCTGTAAAGCTACACAACCCAGTATAATTATGCTGCGCGAGGACGAATGGGCCTCACGATGCTAGAAATAACTCTCGCCCCGCTTCCATTTATAGATGCGGAAGAGTAATATCCAGAGGAAAGCACCTCGGCACGTTTTACTAGACCTAAAACATCTAGTGTCCGACAACGAAACCAGACGGGATTTAAAATAAAATGACAGTGAAGGCTTTGAGGGTAAAGAGCTGCTGTCATCTGGTCCCCGTAAGGTACACCCTTGTTTCCCCACAGCCCAAGCCCTGGTCTGCTCTGTGGTGTCGGACCCAAACCAGTCCTCCTGCCCTGACGGTCTGCACGAGCCCCCGGGCCGGCGCACACAAGGACACCTCATCCCAAGCCCGTCACTGCAACAGCTGCTCCCTCAGGCCACCGTCCGTCTCCAGGGGCAGATTTATTCTACACTCCCTCTTCTCTCCGGTGCCCGAGCCCGGCTCTTTGCGAGGTCCTGGCCACGTCTTTGCTCACCCAGTGCAATCCTTCTCTCGCTTATAAATTTTCTTAAATTTAGCCTCGACTTGAAGGGACACCACCAACTTAAACGACATCACCTGTAAATTCTCTTGTTCCAAGAGAATACGCTTTATGATGAAGCATATTTATAAAGGTAAGCGCTTTATTCCTCTGATGCATATTATTGACAAACTGGTGAGACTAAGCTGCCAGTCTCATATTGTCACGAGCAGTGTCATTTATCGGCAGAGGGCTGGCTCCCTGAGACGTACGTGGCAAGGATGGAGAACAGATCTTTAATAAGTCCGTCCTCGGTTTTCCCAGAACTATAAAACCGTTTACACATTCCATGAGGATGTACTGCAAATGTGTATCTGGTCGTCCTTCTTCCTACCCTATACCTTATTCTTGACACAAATACTGACCCGGTGCCGGGGGCTCTGCTCCACTGTGGCACGTGGGGTGCACACTGGAGAATGCGGGCCGGCTCTACACCGTTAGCCAAGCATCCGTGTGAATGACGGCGCGAGCTCCATGGCCCACGCCCCCACCGCTTTATTTTTGGCCAAGTCCCCTCCGACGGATGTGAGAGCGGGTGGGGTGTCACCCCACCCACCTCCCCCTCCCGCCACTTGGATGTTGCGCTTCCCACCGAGTCTGTAGCTGCAAAGAGACGTCCTTTCTCTTACTTATGTATAAACAGGTACCAGTTTTGATTTTATTTCATATTAACATACATGAACATCAACAGGAGAAATGCACAATTTAACCATTCAACAGCGCCTTACTCCAAAAGAGCACTATATTCATAGTCAACATTTATACAGTCTTTCCATCTAACTTGACAAACGTTCTAAGCCCTCGTCCGGCATTTCTCTCACAGAAGTCTGGTTTTGCTCTCTAGAAATCACTGCTCAGTAGCACCCCGGCAGACTTGGGGGCTTCCCCTGCGATCCCGGACTGAAGACAGCCAGCCAGCCACCCCCAAGCAGCGCAGGGCTTGACCCCGAGGCATGGCAATCCTGCTCCCAAGAACTGATCCGTGACATCTGTAACCAAGGACTAAAGGCTGTAGCGTCTGCCTACGTCATCAGTCACAGGGAGGAAGGGGACCGGGGCCAAGAGAAATCCCAAATGATGGAAGGCCAATTTTTGCCCAGGGAGATGTTAAGACCAAGGCCCCCAACCTTCCCAGGACACCCTTAAGATTGGAGCTATTCCTTTCACTTCTCAAAAGTGTCCCACGGCTGTGACCAGACCCTGGAAGAAGGGTGTGTGTATATACGGAACATGTCAAAAAAGAACTCTGTGAAAGCTGCAGTGTCTGATTACATCCCAAATTTAAATGGATATGGAAAAACTCAGATCATTGAACAGAACTTTTTCAGTATAGTGACAATGACGTCCCTGAGCAGCGTCCTCTCTTCCTGCCTTCGCCCTACACCCAGATCCCAGCGCGTTATTTGTACACCACCAGTTAGGTTACACGAAGCTCCGCATCGTTGTGAACCAGTCAGTCAGTTTTGAGTCACGCCATTCATCCTACGCTGGCTTCAGCAGTCATCACAGGAAACATGAAGTCACATCCTAGTCAAAGGACTATCCATTTCTCCAACACGGAAAAACCTGAGATATGAGTCAGCAACTAGCTACACTTAGAGTAAAGAACAACCCCCCCCTCCCCCCCCCCCCCCCCCCCCGCCCCCAAGCTGCTGACGTGAATTAAGGCTTCCAAAGAGGGCCATACTGTAGTGGACAAGGCTCAAGCCAGGAAGTTTAAAAGCAGGTACGTACTATCACTTGGGTCCTTGTTCCAATCACCTCCTATTTTCAGCTGCCAGGATTAATTCCATACAGTGATTGTAGGTCAAAGGCCGAGAGACCACCTTGGTCCTGCTCCATTTTGATGTGTCCCTTGTACAAAAAAAATGCTGGGGACAGTTTCTGAGAAGAGCTTGGCTGTGGTTTTCCACTCTGCTCACAACGAATCAAATCCAACCAGCCTCCCCTCGCCTCCCTGTACTGTTGTTTCATGCTCAACACTCCTGACTTAACCAGCCTCTCAGCCCGTGAGTAACCGGAAAGGGAACAACAGAGCTACCACCCTTGTCCCGTGCTGAGGGAAACAAAACCATGGAGAGAAAAAAATGGGAGGTTCCTGCTCCTCCTCAGCAATTTTAGTTCTCTAATCTGTGTTTTTTCTCCCTCTTGGTAGCTGCCTATAACATTCTACCTACCTGTTAGGTTTCGACAAAACAGATCTGTGCAGCAAGACCGAAGGGGGAAAAACTCTACTCCGGCCGAGAACTTGAAGGTTCTGCTCCTCTGGCAGCAACCCAAGTACCTTCCCATCTGGCTTCAGCCAAAGTAACGACACCGTTCCAAACAATTCTCTGACTTAACAGGGAGGGAGGTAGACTTGGTTAGCCTCCCGACCTGAGCTTCAGTCGTTCTGCTGCCAGACCCCAGCTGTTAAAACTGAATCCTAGATGGTCTCCCTTCTCTTCATAAAGCTGAGGAGGAGGAGAAAACAAGTAACCAGGCCCATCTGGAAGTTTGTGCGGAGATCGTCTGAACTGGTCTGCGAAGCGTGCCTAGCTACCTACCTACCTACTCACAAGACCTGGGGTACAGGCTCCCGGACTGGGTAGGGGTGAGCCCCCGACTTGCAGTCTGAGGTACTGGGTGTGCTCTGAAGGAGACCACGGCAAGGCCTCTGAGTGATGCGCGCATCGGCTGCCGGGTGAGCGTGGATGCGCGAATCGCTTCGGCTGCGATCGTTTCTCTTGCGGCTACCACGAGGCTGCGTCCCTGCTGGGGCCTGGCCGCCTGACCCACGAGCTGGCTCAGTCTCAGCGCTAAGGTGCACTACGGAAGGGGCCGGACAGAGACTAGGGCTCCGGAGCTCCTGGGGCACGACAGGAAAATTAAGTGGCGGGGGGTTCCTCCTCCGACACCACGGAGCGCCGGAGTTGTCAGGGACAGGAGGGTGTGCAACCGCTGCAGACCGTCTGTCTGTCTCGGAGGAACCCGCGCACCTGCCTCCCACCTGTGGTGAGAAGAGGAGCTGGCCTCTCACGCGCAGGCGTTGAGCGACCACCTGTGGGGATCCATCTTTTGCTTTCACACCACAGCTCCATCTCCCAGAAATATATATGTGTGTACATACACATCTTTCAGATTTACAGGGAATATTTTTTTGTGTGAACAAGAAAAACCTCGTCAGTGGAAGCCCCGAGCGGCCGCCGCCTCAGGACACCTCGATGACCTCCATGCTGCCGGAGAAGCTAGACTGGCTGCCCACCTTGCCCAGCTCTTCCCGCGACCTGTTCTCGGCCATGATGCTCTCGCCGAACTCCATCTGGCAGCTTCTGCGCTTAAACTGCTTCTCAAAGGGGCTCTCCTCGTGCCAGCTGCGCCGCGAGTCGGGCCGGTCGCTGGCCTTGTGCCGCCGGCGCACGGAGGGGCCCGCGTCGCCGCCGGTGGGCAGCTGGCCGCCGCTGAAGGCCGAGTAGCCGGCGCCGCCCGCCAACACGGCGGAGGCCGAGTAGAAGCGCGGCGGCTCCGCGGCGAAGTACCACCCGCCGCCGAGGCCGGGCGCGGACGCGTGGGGCGCCAGGATGTCGGAGTGCCAGCCCTTGAGGCCCAGGCCGGCGGCGGGCTGGGCGAGGCGCTGCGGGCCGGCCGACAGGCCCAGGAGGAAGCTGGCGTGCCGGTTGTCCTCCACGCTCCCGCTCCGCTGCAGCGGCGCCCAGAGGGGCCGCGCGCCGCCGCCGCCGCCGCCGCGCGCCGCGTGCAGCCGCTTGGCCGGGCTCTCGGCGGGCCTGGCCGCCCGGGGCTGCCCGGGGCCGCCCGCTTCCTCCGGGTCCGGGCTGGCCTCCGGGCTCTGCTCCGACACCTCCTCGACCGGAGAGAACTGGCAGAGCTTGCCGGGCCCGTCGAGGCCGGCGGACGGCTTGTAGTAGTCGCGGGCCTCCTCCGCCGGCGGGAAGCCGTGCAGCGCGGCCGCCGCGCCGGCCGCGTACGAGACGGACTTGATGTCCAGGGAGAAGGAGCGCCGGAGCTTGCGGCTGTCCTCCAGCCCGGCCGGCGGCAGGTGCAGGCCGCTCAGCGCCTGGGCCAGCGGCGCGTCCTCCCCGGGCTGCGCCGGCCGCCGCCCCGCCGCCGCCTCCGAGGTAGGGGGGTGGGCGCGGGGCGCGAGGCGCGGCTCGCCCTTCCGGCCGCCCTCGGAGGCCGCGGCGACGGGCTCACTCGGCTTCTCCAGGTGCAGCAGCTTCAGTTTGCTCTTCGGCCCCGACGTGCCGGCCTGGTTCCTAATCTTCTTCTCGTAGTCCAGGAGCTGGCCCAGAAAATTGAAGTTGGGAGAGATGGTCGGTCTTTTTTCTTTCACAAATCTACGGAGAGAGGAAAGGGACAGAAACCGCGGGCTTTACAACGACACGTTATCTTCAGGACAGTATTAAGAGAGAGTCTTAGGTGCATGAATAAGATAGGAAATTATCAGAGCCTCCCCAGTACGGACGGAAGAGGACTGGTTTAAAAGGTCAAGGCGGAGGGCGCCTGGGGGGCTCGGTCAGTTGAGCGTCAGACTTGGGCGCAGGCCACGATCTCACCGTTCGTGGGTTCGAGCCCTGCCTGGGACTCCGTGCTGACAGCTCAGAGCCTGGAGCCGGTCTTTGGATTCTGTGTCTCCCGCTCTCCCCGACCCTCTCTTGCTCACACTGTTTCTCTCTCTCAAAAATAAATAAGACATTAAAAAAAAAATTTAAAAGTTCAAGATGGAGATCACAAAGGACCTTGGCACTGGGGGAGCTTTATACCACCCCCCTGGAGCATGCTAGAAAGAGAGGGGCCGCGGCCCGAAAGCTCTAGTTGTGGCCAGCTTGTTTCCAATGTAATTGCTAAGAGAGGAATCTGCCCTCCCCGCCAGGGCCACCCTCCCCATGCTGGTGCCGCAGTCGGAAGTACAGTGTGACCGCCACTCTCCTCCTTCGGTTTTTTGATACTGTGCCTTCTCGAAGTCCCCGCAGTCACCTCCTCAGGACATCACAGGTTTTTAATGAAGGACCAGAAAAGCAGGTATCAGATGGCCGGAGCATCAACGCACACACCTGAGTTCCTTCTCTTTGCATCCGGCACGACGGAATAAGCAGCCGTCAGGCGGCCTCTGTATGCTAAGCACCAGGCTAATGCATTAGAGTATCTCATTTGGTTCCCAAACTACCGTACGTCAAGTGAGTGTATTACCCCCATCACACAGGGACACAAAGTCCATAAGTGATTTGCCCCAAATCAAATAGCTGGGATTCGAAATCAGGTCTTAGGTCTAGGTCCATTTTTGTAACCACTCTGGCAGCAAAGAATCATCAAGGGGTCAAAACTAGAAATAAATAGTTTTATGTTTAACTGTGGAGACGCAGACTCCTAGAGAGAGTAGACAAATTCCTCAGTGGTTTCTAACCTTCATGGCCACACCTCAGAAGACACAGGAGTGAAACTACACTGAAAATTTGTATTTGAATATGGAGAAAAATCAAACTCCTTGGAAATCAAGTAACCCCAAGCCAGAAACAGCTGGCCCCACTGTAACAAGTACAAATGCAGGGTCCTCACGGTAAAGACTTCGTGACAGAAGAGTGCTGCCTCCAGTTTCCACGTGGGGCCAGAAGACTTCTAGGGAGCAAAGCCTGAACTGAGGACGAGGGAAGTAATGCGGACAAAGGACCCTTCTCCTCCAGTCTCGTTGAGCAGCTCTTCAGGGAGCTCATCTTTCCAAATTTTCCAATTAGAGAAAAAGTCCAATTGGTACAACAGGCCTACTTCCTGCATCTATATTTATGGCCCTTGACTGCATGGAAACCAACTGCTGCTGCTCACCAAATCCAGAGCCGCCCACCAAACTCTGGTCCTGGGCCCTTGTCACTTGCCGCCTCCCCTCCATCTGACCCAGGGTGGGGGGAGCAACCCAGTCAAAATGCAGAGCCTGGGCAATTCTAGAATGAATGGAGGAAATTCCACTCAGTGAATGGATTTTGACAATAACTTGGTCTTACACTTAGGCCTTTTCCTCACAGTGACCGAGGCACAAAGTTTGAAGCAGAAGTAGGGATTCTCTAATGGCCATGCTGCTGGAGCTTTTTTCTCACACATACTTCCCCAGTTAGGAACAGATACAAACTCACTCAATAGGACAGAGATCTGTTTAGATTTGTTGTTCCTTAAAATTAAAAAGTAGCTGAGGATGAAATGTGGCACACGTTCGGGCAGAACTCGTGCTAATTTATATTCTTCTCTAATCTTTGAAAAACCAGTTAAAAATCCAGTCACCTGTAAAGAATGTAACTAAAACAATCCTGATTCGCTGTAACTCGGTTACCGGTCCTCATCTCTCTGCATGTCTCACGTCCAAGGGAAAGCCAATCCATAAGGCATAACCCTGTCCTCACCTGTAAGCTTCGTCTAAGGACATGTCCATCCTCTTCATGATGTAGGCGATAGCGATGGTGGCCGAGCGAGAGACGCCAGCTAAACAGTGCACCAGGACGCAGCCGTTGCAGGCTTTCGCTTTCTCTGCGGGAGTCAAATTCGAGAAGGGTCACCACGAACAACTCTGTTCAACAGTGAGATCTTGTTGCCATTTACTTACTTTCAGCTGATAACTCAAAGTAAATCTCATATATTTATATAATATTCTTCCTTTCAATAGTTTTTTGAGGAGGAAGGGAAGATAATTTCCCCCGCCATTTACCTACAGGACAATGGAGGTCAGTCCCAATGTGTTAATAAGCAATTAGTCCATAACTCCAGATGGCCTCTTGGTACATTTCCCAATGTGTTTTTTACATTATTTTTTTATTTTAATAATTTTCCCTGAGTATAAATCCTACATTGTGATGACAGGATTCCATTTGTTTAGTGTGGAGAATTCAGAATTACAGAGAAGTAAAAGGAAAATAATACCCCAAATCCTAAAATTTAGCTAATTATTTTGTTTACCCACGTTGTTTGACATTTCAACTTTTTTCTAGTTCTGTAAGAGATACTAAATTTTTTTTTCCAGTTTGGAGATAGAATTTTCAGTTTTGAGATATAATTGACATGTAACATTGTATTTTAGGTGTACAGTATAGTGATTTGCTACATATAAAAGGTATTAAATTTTTAAAAATATTTCCTCATTTCAAACATATGTGACCTACCTTACCAACTTAAAAAGCAGGAGGGAGAAAGACTTCATCACAATATCATATCAGAAAGCAGAAAGATGCCAGGTCAAGCTTCTTTTAAAATGCTGGCTCATAGAATCTATCTTCCTGTAGTTTCCTATTTTTGTTTAGGAGAATTTTCTGTAGGTCGTAAAGCGGCTCAACATAATTCATTTGCTGAGTTTAAGAAGAAAACTGGATATGCTAGGAATCAGCTTGAGCAGGTCACTTTAATGAGGACCACTGGGATACGGAGATGCTACTGACTGCACCACGTACTTTCTGTACCACAGGGTAGCACTTTTGGACACTTGGTGAGAACCAAGAACATTCAAGCAAACGATGCTACCATCTCACTGTTGAGGGGCTTCAGAAGGCTACTTGTAGGGGTGGGTGAAGTTATCCCACACAGCCAGGAAGCTACTCACCTTTTAGCCAATATTACGGCTGCCTCGATTCTAAACAACTACACACATGCGTGCTCACCCCTGAGCTGCTGCCACGGAACTAACTTCCCCTTTCCCTTCTTGTTTTAGCTGGTGGCACCAAAAGTTTACCAAACCTTCTGTTAAAATTCCTGTAAGTAACAGATCTACAGGGAATCAGTCTGGCTACGGAGGTGGAAAGGTAATACAAGGCCATTCCAATCTCACCGCCTCTGTTATAAATATTACAAATACCCAATGCATGTGATTTATTATTATGTACAAAACACATAGGGCTTTTGGTGAATAGTATACGAAAAATCAAACACAATGAAACAGCGACAACTGAATATGAATACTACTTGAAATAAATATGTACAACATATACAGAAACCCATGTACCTGAAGTCCATTGCCTTCCTGAGCCTACACAGTAGTCTTCCTTATCTCAACTATACAGTACTTAGCCTGTACTAATCTTAGTTATTTCTCATTTTGCCTTGACTGTTAAGCTCAGAGTTAAGATTTTCACTCAATTTCAATAGGTAAACTATAATTCAGATTTTATTACACCTTTCCTAGTCCCATATTACTTGATTCTTGCCCTTTTTTTCACTTTAATGTATATGTGTGTGAATGTATCTTTTCATCCAAGGCTCATACTGTAAGCTGCCTTAAATTCTTATTAGAAGTAGGCTAAGTTTCAATGTTTTTTTAAATGTTAACAATATTCTCTCAGTTATTACTTAAAAGAATTATCTCAAAACAAACCTATAAGCATTTATAAGGATCTTGCTTCTAGCTACCTCAGAGGGCTTAACACTGGGCACATATTATGCACCCAGGAAATACAGTAAATGGGATATGCACCTATTATCTTCCTTTAAAAAAAATGTTTGGGGCACCTGGGTGGCTCAGTCAGTTAAGTGTCTGACTTTGGCTAAGGTCATGATCTCACGGTTGTGGGTTCGAGCCCCGCATCAGGCTCTGTGCTGACAGCTCAGAGCCTGAAGCCTGTTTTGGATTCTGTGTCTCCTTCTCTCTCTGACCTTCACCTGGTCATGCTGTCTCTCTCTCAGAAATATATAAAACATAAAAAAAAAAAAAAAAAAAAAAAAAATGTTTGACTTGTACGAACATGGTGGAGAAGTAGGGGGGCCTGAAGTTCCCTCATCCCTCAAACACAGCAGTATTGAGGCCAGAAGATTTGATATTCCAGGAATTTGGGCTACAGAGTGACAAACCTCTCCAGGGGCCCACGGAGACAGCTTGGCAGGAGAGAGGTGTGCACTTGCAAATTGGGAGAGAAAACAGTCAGCCTAGGCAGCAACTGCAGGGGGAACCCCTTCAGTGGAGAGAGAAAAGAAGGAAAAAGAGGCTGTGGAAATGTGGGATTGTATTTGGACAAGAGAAAAACCTCTCCAGACCATGGACCAAGGAAGGAAAAAAGCGGAGAGAGTCTCTAACTTGCAAACAGCCTTCGGAGTGATGATCCAGGGCTGTGCAACTTTCTCTGGACCAGGACCGGAGCCAGCTGCTGGTCTGTGCACCTGGCCCTGAGGGGACAGGGAGCCAGCCCCGGGCTCGGTAGCGAGCTCAGAGGTGCTTTGGGAGAAAGCTGTCCCCTCCCTCAAGTGCTGTGGGAAGAGGGGATACTGCCACTCCAAGGACAGAAGACCCAGCCAGCCAGAGGTCCTCTGTCAGCTGGCTGCGCAGGGCGGTACTACCCTGGAACTGGGGTGCGCAGAGCAGCATCCTTTAAGTCAAGGGGGTGTGAATCACAGCCGAGTGCCTGGGAGGTGCGGGAGATGAGTGGGACAAACCAGCCTGCTCTCACCCACACAGCACCGTGAGGACGGCCTGAACAGTGTGGTCTGGGACACCTGGTCCGGGAAGGAGAGACTGGGGTGTCTCCATTTTTCTCCCCATCCTTCCCTGCTTCAGGGAACCAACAACAGGCCCACAGTGGAGGGGGGACCTGCCTGCACCAAACCACACCCCTCCCACCAGGTAACTGCATATCAAAACAGGATTGAAAGCGACCCAACCAGAGGGCCTTTCCTCCAGACCAGCACAGCCCCTGGCTCCACGCACAATCAGACAACAGTTTGGTGGTTTTGCACTTCTGATTGGATTCTTGGCCAATTCTTATTTTATATATATATATATTTGTTTTTTTCTTTTCTTTTTCTTTCTTCCCTTCTTTATTCTGGTTGTTGGTTTGCTTAAGCAGACATTTTTAATCTGTTATTTTTATACCTCTTCTGTAGCTCCTCCTTATTTCCTTTCTTTGACTTGGGATTAAGCTGTATAGCTTCTCTGAATTTCTGCCTGTTAATTCACCCCCTCACCCCCCCACCGCCCCTGTCATTTGTCTCTTTGTATGAGATAAGGCTTCTTCCATTCGGCTCCTTTTTAAATTTTTTCCAGGGTTACTTCAACGAACAAATCAAAGCACACCTGGTGGAGGGTCCAAACAACCACTACAAGTAGGGAGACAAAGCAACCAGAGTCACAACAAGAGCACACAACACACTCCAAAAACACCCCCTGAGGGGCCAGGCCCTGGACAGTGTATGACGCCTCTTTCATATAGTAGTGCTCGCAGGTGCAGGACACATAACAAGCTATTAAAGCATGTAAAAGACAGAAAACTAGCCAAAATGATGAAACAGAAGAATCCCCCCCAAAAAAATTCCAGGAAGCAGTGACATCCAGAGAATTGCTCAAAAGAAATATAAAAGGTATATCTGATCAAGAATTTAGAATAATAGTCCTAAGACTATTAGCTGGGCTTGAAAAAAGCATAGAAGACAGCAGAGAATCTATTGCTGCAGAGATTAAGGAACTAAGAAATAGTCACAATGAATTAAGAAATGCTGCAAATGAGGTGCAAAATAAAACAGATGCAATGACAGCAAGAATGGAGGAAGCAGAGGGGAGAATACGTGAATAGAAGATAAAATTACAGAAAATGATGAAGCTGAAAAAAAGAGACAGGAAAATCCTAGACCACAAGGGGAGAATTAGAGACCTGAGTGATTCAATGAAACATAATAATGTCTGTACCATAGGAGTTCCAGAAGAATTAGAGAGAAAGAGGCAGAAGTTTATTTGAACAAATTACAGCTGAGAACTTCCCTAATCCAGGGAAGGAAGCAGATGTCCAAGTAAGTCCAGGAGGCATAGAGAACTCCCTTCAGATTCAGTAAGAATAGGCATTTTCCATGGCATATCATAGTGAAACTGGCAAAATACAAAGATAAAGAGAGAATTCTGAAAGCAGCTGGGGACACATGGGCCTTAACCTACAAGGGTAGGCACATAAGGGTAGCAGCAGACCTGTCCTCTGAAACGTGGCAGGCCACAAGGGAGTGGCAGGGAATGTTCAATGTGCTGAATAGTGAAAATATGCAGCCAAGAATCCTTTATCCAGCAAGGCTGCCATTCAGAAGAGGAGAGAGAGAGGCGTTCCCAAACAGAAACTGAAAGAGTTCACGATCACTAAACCGGCCCCGCAGGAGATTCGGGGGGGGCTCTGTGAGTGGAAACCACACTGAGACACCACCTCACACCAGTCAGAGTGGCTAAAATTAACAACTCAGGAAACAACAGATATTGGCAAGGATGTGGAAAAACAGGAACCCTCTTGCACTGTTGGTGGGAATACAAACTGGTGTAGCTGCTCTGAAAAACGGTATGGAGATTCTGCAAAAAATTAAAACTAGAACTACCCTACTACCCAGCAATAGTACTACTAGGTATTTATCCAAAGGATAAGGGAGTGCTGATTCATAGGGGCACATGTACCCCAAAGTTTATAGCAGTGCTATCAACAATAGCCAAATTATGGAAAGAGCCTAAATGTCCATCAACTGATGAACAGATAAAGCAGATGTGGTTTATATACATAATACTACTTGGCAATGAGAAAGAATGAAATCTTGCCATTTGCATCAACGCTGATGGAACTGGGGGGTATTATGCTAAGTGAAATAAGTCAGAGAAGGACAGATATCACATGTTTTCACTCATATGTGGAATTTGAGAAACTTAACAGAAGACCATGGGGTAAGAGGAGAAAAAAATAGTTTCAGAAAGGGAGGCAAACCAAGAGACTCTTAAATACAGAGAACAAAGTGATGTCCCCAAAGATGGGGGAGAGTGGAAGAGAGGAGAAAACGGGTGATGGGCACTGAGGAGGGCACTTGTTGGGACAAGCAGTGGGTGTTGTATGTAAGTGATGAATCATGGGAATCTACTCCTGAAGCCAAGAGGACACTATATACACTGTATGTTAGCTCACTTGACAATGAATTATATTTTTTAAAATGCTTGTTTATTTAAAGAAAGAGTGTGAGTGCACACAAGCAGGGGAGGGGCAAAGAAAGGGAGAGAGAACTCTAAACAGGCTCCATGGTCAGCACGGAACCTGATGTGGGGCTCAATCCCATGACCATTGAGATCATGACCTGAGCCAAAAAAATGAGTCAGATGCTTAAACAACTGAGCCACCCAGGTGCCCCTACTACAGATCTTAAAAAGCAATGTTTATAAAAAATTTGAAAAAGGCTGGAAGGAAATAAAACAATGATGATAACAGATGTGTTAAAATGTTGAAGTTATAGGTTTTCTTTTCTCTGTTTTGCAGATTTCCTGCATTGTACTTACATTGCTTTTACAGTTATAACACGTTTGCGGATGTATTTTAAAAATCTGATTGAAAAGGGATTCCACCGGATCGGGGTTCACTAGAACACGTTTCTTGGCAGCAATGTGTGTGTGTGCGCCAGGCAGCTACACGCTGGGAATAATTAGGCTGCACAGACGACAGTCCGCCGTGTGGGGCAGGGAGGGAATAAAAAGGTTGCAAAGGTGGGGAGCAGGTGCCGGAGGGTCTGGGAACGATAGGCCAAGGACAGCAGGTTCCTGAACAGGGGCAGCAAAAGCAGTGACGGTGAAAACTGGAGAGAAGAAAGGCAGGCTGCCCCCACAGCAATCCGGGAATAAAAATCTAGGCAAACAAAGGGCAGAGAGAATAACAAAGGAAAGAGTAAGGGGGAGCCAGTGAAGATGAGAAGTTACAAAGGCTAAAAATAAAGAAGTAATAACTGAGCTTCTAGAGTACAGCTCAAAGAAAAAAAACACACACAAAGAACTTCTCAGATGGTAATTTTTACAACCACTACTACTTATTAAGAGCCAATTATAAGTTAGGCACTTGGCGAGGTATTCTAGATACATTACCTGTTTTAATCCTCACAATATCCCTAAGAAAGTGATACATTATCTTCAGTTTCCACGTCAGGAAACTGAGGAACTTAACTAGTACCCAAGGAAGACAGGACTCAAATACAGTTTGGCTCCAAAGTGCGTGCCCTTAATGACCTCCCTGTATGGCCTACATCTGAACTCGAGAGGAGAGGCAGGAGCCTGGGGCACAGCAAGGCGGGAGCGGGAGCCCGAAGCAGCAGGCAGCTGCGTCTGGGGCAACCTTGTGAGTGGCCTGTAGTGCCAACAGCCAACCCGAGCTCACTGCTGCCCGTGTTAACTAAAAATGAAGACAGAACTCCATGAAAACTTGAGTCCTTCCAACAAACCCAGAAACTTACTGGAATTTATCTAAATGATAGAAAGAAAATACACATGCAAGCCTGTAAGTTACTAAGCCCTGGGACGAGGCTGCGTCTCCACACCTTGCACTCTGCCACGACCCACCCCTGCATAAAGCACCCTGGAGACCAGCGACTACCACGACTGTGCACTCGACTCAAAAGCAGGGCTGGAGCCTCTGCCCTCAATCACCTGGGTGGGATAAGGACAGTGGTCCTAGGAAACAGGGATAAACAGGTGAAATAATGAGGAGCATAAATATTTTCAGATGTTATGAATAGATTACAATATGTACCTGGGTGTGTGTGACCAAGTTGGAACGTGGTAAATTTCTTTTGCCTTAATTAAAATGGCAGGATGACCCCAATATCTCCCATGAAAGAAGAAAGTAAGTTGTGGCAAAGTTATTCATATTGTCTCTTTTCTGCTAACCCTCCAAAAAGCTTAGACATTGTGATGAATTAAAAGAATCAGGTTCTCTTCTAAATAGATTCCGAAATGGCACTTTTAGCTGAAATTACAGCCAAATGTCTTTGGATTGATGTGACCTGCAATGGGAACATTAACCATGACTGTTCTCTTTTAAAGAGGCAAAAACAGGGGAGCCTGGGTGGCTCAGTTGGTTAAGCGTCCGACTTCGGCTCAGGTCATGATGTCGCGGTTCATGGGTTCGAGCCCCGCGTCGGGCTCTGTGCTGACAGCTAGTTCAGAGCCTGGAGCCTGTCTTCAGATTCTGTGTCTACCTCTCCCTCTGCCCCGACTCTGCTCGCTCACGCTCTCTCTCTCTCTCTCTCTCAGAAATAAATAAAACATTAAAAAAAAAAAACAGGCAAAAACTGAATCATATACTGATTCTTTCCTAGAAGTACAATGGCTGGGGTTATTAATTTGGGGAGCTCTGTTCGTGAATATTGTAATGGGAATTATCTCCACCATTTATCTTCTGGTGTTTCAAAGACTGCATCCTAATTAAAGATGAAAAGTTTTGGCAATCTGGAATCCTGAACAAAAAAAAGGGAGAACTGTTTCAGAATTACTCGATGTTCCTAAAGCATGATCTAGGAAAAAAATCCTCTCACAGATGAAAGTGTATAGTTGAAGGGTTTAATTCACAGCATTTCACATCTTAAAAGGAACTAACTCTTTTTTTAATTACGGTAACCAATTCGGAGTATTTAATTGTGGATTAGGGGTCAAGCTTCTGTAACTGGGGGAAGAAAATCTCACTGGGAACATCAAGAGTGAACCGTGTCATGCTCCTCGGCTCAGCTACTTGTCACTAAAAACCCGTTTCAAATACACGTCACCAATTTGCCACCAGAAGGCCTGATCCTGAGGCACCAAAATGTCACAAAGCACCTGAAGCCAGGAGTCAGGAGGCTCCGGGACTGACAGGTCCAGCCCACAGACAGACGACACAGCACAGGACAGATGAGAGCCTGTCACAACCAACCCCAAGGAAACAACCGTGTGCTTGCGCGCGCGCGCGCATGTGTGTGTGTATTAGAGTCCATACGACTTGAAATTACTGGCACATGGATCGAAGCTTACAAATCTCGTGACATAAAGACTTTAGATATAATGGGATTTGTTTTCACAGGACTGGAGTTTTCTCTGGGGAAAACATAGCAGCAAGGCAAAAACAGTTTAAGGAATGCCACCAAAGTTTCCAAAAGTCTCTTACAGGATTTGAGGAAATGGCTATAAAGTTTAATGCCAGAAGTTTAACTGATTTCAAGTGCTTGCAAATACATAATCACAGACCCATCAGGCTTACCCCTGGCAGTGGTAAGTTAGCCATAATGTCACAAGGCCAGTCCCTTAGGGACAGCATGGCACGTCACCTTGGCCACTGAACGAGATAAGCAGCGTCCTGTGTTGTTTTCAGACTTTTGAAATCTCTGCAATAGGCTTTTTCTCTAAAGAGGGAAAAAGGGAGGGCAGGGTGGGGTGCACCTGAACATGAGACTATAACCCTCAAAGGGCTTGTAATACTGCCCTGAACTACTTACCAATGAAATCGACTGATTTGTCCAACCACGGCAGAATTTTCTCGCAGAAGCTATCATTCACAGGCACTCGCAGGAAATGAGACTCGGGAATAAAGTCGGGCTTAGGGCAGGTATTGCTGGCATTTAACACATAACCAATCCCATTCTGCTGCATCAGCTCCTGAGGAGGGAAAGAGCAATGTTATAGTGAGTGAGTGCCACACCAAGCACAATCACGTTGGAAGAGGAAAGTTTAATGTGATGATCAAAATTACTAGTTTCCTTGAAATCAGAGTTAATTCAATCGGTGAAATCCAAAAACCTAGCACAATGACATTCAGAGACTTCAGTTTCAAGCAGAATTGTTTTTAAGCGGGGAAAAGGGTTGTTTAAAATGGTAAGCTTGGAGATCACGTATCATGAATATCATCAATTCTCTGATCTCGGTATCTTCATTACCGAGAGAGAAGCACAAGAATACGAAACCGTGACGGTCTGCTGACTTCAGAGTACAACAAGAACATGTTCTTCCCACTCCGAACATGATGCTTGTTCTCAGAGCCACATCCCAGGCAGGCGTCTCCCTCGGAACACTCTTGTTAAAGACGGATTCTGCTGCCAGGGCTTTAATCATCAGCACTACACGTGGACGATGGACTCTTAAATACGGACCCTCTTCAATTTCCAAGCCCTCGTTCCAACCACCTCCTGGAGGTCTCTGTATCCTCCTCTGTATGTTCCTCTGGCCTTTCAGACTCAAAACATCAGAAACTCAGACACATTATCGTTCTGTGCCCCAAATTCCTGTTTCCTCTCTGTAATCCAAAACTGGTTTGTGGTAACACCATCTACTCAGACTCTTGGGCTGGAAAATAGGGTCCTTTCATTTCTCTTCCTTCATGACCCCCATCCAAATGGCCGCCACAGCCTTTTGGTACAGCCTCCCCTCCCCTCCCCACCGTCTGTCGTCTCCTCTCTTTCCCTCGGGTTGCTGCTCAGTCAGTGGTCAGCCCTCACCACCACCAGCACCACAACAGAGTGTTCTTGAAGCTCACGGTGTTTCATCTCTAAACCACGTACTGAACAAGAACCAGATCTTTCTTACACTCAAACACCGGCTAAGTGCTTTGTCCACACTTAGTGCTCGTCTTACTGACTGCTCCTGCCCAGACCCCCAACACGGCACGTGCGCCCTGCTTCCGTGCCGGCGCTCACACCACTCCTGTGCTTCGCAGGCCCCGTTCCCCCTCCTGGCGACTCTCTTCCACTCTGCCGGCCTTGTAGAAATTAGCCTTACTCTGCACTCCTTCCACCGACCCATAATTAACCATTCTACTCCCTGCCCTTCCGAAGTACTTTGTGCACTGAGCACACAGTTAGTTAGCAGATAATTCTTGTCGCTCCTATCAAACAGCGAAGTAGAACCTGGACTGATTCTCACTTGTTTTTCTACCTTCAGCACCAGGTACGCAGTTGCACTCAATACATGTTTGTTTGACTGATACCCATCCACTGTTCTCCAGACAAGCCTACACAGCCCCCCTTCACTCAGTTCTACATGTTCTAAGCCTAAAATAATTCCCTTTTAAGCAACTCTGGTCATTTTTTCCCTTTCTTGGAATGACACCTCCTCTACAAATTGTTCCCAACTACCTGAAAGACAGTCGGTGATCTTCTTCCTGTTTTCGCTCCCGAAATACGCCAATTCCCTGAGTCTCTTCATTTACCACGTTTGGCACAAGAAATAAATTTTACATAAAGGCAGACTTAATAAATCCAGGTCATGTAGACTTAATAAACCCTCTGTCAACTGTGAGATGATGTCAAGAAACATCTTTGAGAAGCAGGTGAGCTTCCTGGACTGACTGACTAATGCTTCCGCGGTCCCAGAGCCCCCGTCTGCTGATGCTCCCACGTGCTTCTGTTAGTTAATAACCAGGCTGTGAAGAAAAGGTGTTTACTACAACTTGTAAACTCTGTACATGTGGCAAAGGTCACGTTTGTCTTTTTATGCTGAGATTACCACCATCTGATCAACCGCAGTATCTCCCACTTAGGTACAGCAGGTCACTGGAGTTAAGAGCCTTTCCAGCCTTTCCTGCCAATTATGGTCCTTAAAGAAATGAACCATCTTATGTGTCTTTCTCCTATCCACCAGCAGGACCACAGAGATTAAATAGAAAGCAAAGGGAAGTAGTAACCTCGCTTTCCACCCAATTGAGTAATGAGGACATAGAAGTTTCAGAAGGTAACAGGCAATTCTCACTAAGTACAAAACATGTTACAAGTCTATAGTGACTGTCAAATTTGATTTCCCCACAGGAAGAACAAAACATGTACACTTCTGACAAAGTAGCCTCATAACCTACAGTTTATAGAAATGGCCACTTACCCTAAATCCAGTCAAAGAATACTTGCTGGGCATCTTTGCTAGAGGCTTATTAATAATATTACGGTACATGGCACATACTAAAAAATAATACCTAACAGTTAGTGAATGGCTACTTTTTCCAGGTACTGTGCTGAGGATTTAAACAGATGGTCTCTCAAGGATGTGAGGAACAAGGACCCTTCATGCACTGCTGGCAGGAATGCACACCGGGGCAGCCGCTCTGGAAAACAGTGTGCAGCCTCCTTAAAAAGTTAAAAATAGAACTACCCTATGATCCATTAACTGCACTACAGGCTATTTACCCCAAAAATACAAAAACACTAATTCAAAGGGATATATGCAAAGGGATATATTTAGAGCAGCATTATTTACAATAATCAAATTATGGAAGCAGTCCAATTATCCATGGTTAGAAGAATGCATAAAGAAGGTGGGATACACACACACACACACATATATATATAATGGAATATTATTCATCCATAAAAAAGAATGAAATCTTGCCATTTGCAGTGATGTGGATGGAGCTAGAGAGTATTACACCGAGTGAAATAAGTCAGAGAAAGACAAATACCCTATGATTTTACTCATATGTGGAGTCTAAGAAACAAAACAAAGAAGCAAAGGAAAAAAGAGATAAAGCAAGAAGCAGACTCTTAACCGCACAGAGGATAAACTCTGATGGTCATCAGGAGAGGTGAGGGGTAGGGAGGGATGGCTGACTAGGTGATGGAGGTTAAGGAGGGCACTTGTCATGAGGAGCACTGGGTCATGTATCGACATGCAGAGTCATTGTACTGTATGCTGAAAATAATACAATACTGCATGTTAACTATACTAGAATTAAAATGAAAAATTTAATGATAAATAGGCTGTCTCATTTATTCCTAACAACCACCCTTTGATATGGATACTATTATTCTCCCCATTTTAAAAATAAGGAAACTGAGGCTTAGAAGGTTACACACTGTTTGCAGTCACACAGCTAGCAAGTGGGATAGAATCAAAGTTCAAATCAGGCATATCCATCTCCAGCAGCTGTCCGTAGTGGTCATGCTCTGCTCAAGTTCTGTTTAAAGCAAATTAGGGGCGCCTGGGTGGCTCAGTCAGTTAAGCGTCCAACTTCAGCTCAGGTCATGATCTCACAGTTCTCAAGTTCAAGCCCTGCGTCAGGTTCCGCACTAAAAGCTCAGAGCCTAAAGCCTGCTTCAGGTTCTGCATCTCCTCTCTCTGCCCCTTCCCTACTCACACTCTGTCTCTCTCTCTCAAAAATAAAAATAATTTTTTTAAAAATGCAAATTGGCTTCCTTTCAGCTGGAACCTCCATCTTGCAGTAATTCACCAAATGACCAACACAAAGGGAAAGAAGAGAGGTACACGCTTTTATGTTCTCCAGGTCTTTTAGAAAACATGGAGTTGTTCCTTTGGCAACATTCATACAAATCTACATGAAAGGGGACACTGTGGACATGAAGGGAATGGGCACTGTTCAAAAAAGAATGCCCCACAGACCTCATCAAAATATAAAGCTTCTGCACAACAAAGGAAACAAGCAGCAAAACCAAAAGGCAACCGATGGAATGGACGATATTTGCAAACAACATATCAGATAAAGGGTTACTATCCAAAATCTATAAAGAACTTGTCAAACTCAACACTTGAAAAACACATAATCCAGTGAAGAAATGGTCGGAAGACATGAAAAGACATTTCTCCAAAGAAGACATCCAGATGGCCAACCAACACATGAAAAGATGCTCAACATCACTCATCATCAGGGAAATACAGAACAAAACCACAATGAGATACCACCTCACACCTATCAGAATGGCTAACATTAACAACTCAGGCAACAACAGATGTTGGAGAGGATGTGGAGAAAGAGAAACCCTTTTGCACTGCTGGTGGGAATGTAAACTGGTGCAGCCCCTCTGGAAAAAAGCGTGGAGGTTCCTCAAAAAATTAAAACTAGAACTACCCTACGACCCAGCAATTGCACCACTAGGTATTTATCCAAGGGAACAGATGTGCTGTTTCGAAGGGGCACATGCACCCCAGTGTTTATAGCAGCACTATCAACAACAGTCAAAGTGTGGAAAGAGCCCAAATATCCATTGACAGATGAATAAGGTATATATATGCAATGGAGTATTACTCAGCAATCAAAAACAATGAAATCTTGCCATTTGCAACTATGTGGAACTAAGGAGTATTATGCTAAGTGAAATTAGTCCATTAGAGAAAGACAAATATCGTATGACTTCACTCATATGAGGACTTAAGATACAAAACAGATGAACATAAGGGAAGGGAAGCAAAAATAATATAAAAACAGGAGGGGGATGAAACATAAGAGAGTTAAATATGGAGACCAACAGAGGGTTCCTGGAGGGGTTGTGTGAGGGGGGATGGGCTAAATGGGTAAGGGGCATTACGGAATCTACTCCTGAAATCATTATTACACTATATACTAACTAACTTGGATGTAAATTATAAATAAATAAACAAAGGGGGGGGAATGAATGCCCCACAAATGTTACCATGGCAAACTGGAAGAGTCTACAATGTTACCCAGCATGCTGTTGGCATTGTTGTAAACAAAACAAGTTAAGGGCAAGATTCTTGCTAAGAGAATTAATGTACGTACGTATTGAGCATATTAAGCACTCAAAGAGCTGAGATTGCTCTGAATCATGTGAAGGAAAATGATCAGAAAAAGAAGGACACCAAGGAGAAAGGTACTTGGATTCAGCTGAAGCGCCAGCCTGCCCCATCCAGAGAAGCAGGCT